TATTTTCTCTCTGAACACACCCCCCCCCCCCACCAAGGCTCTCCTCATCGTCACAGCTGCACTTGCCTAGACATCTGCAGCTCTCTGGCTGGCACGTTGCTGCTCCCATTCTTGTGTCTTTTAGTTTGTTCTCCAAACAGAACCAAAGTGATCATTTCAGAATATTAATTGGAACACATCTCTTCTCAATTGAAAACCTTCCAATAATTTTACTTTAGAGCCCAAATCAAAGAAAGTACCCACTGTGGCCCAAACACAAGGCCCTACATGACCCAACTCCCAACTCGATGTCTGTCTGAGCTCATCGTCTGCCTTCCCAGCTCCAAGGCTCCAGCCACTCTACCTTGTTCCTTCTCACACACATAATGCTTCTTGTAAGATTTTCCCTTAGCAGTTGTCCCTCCTGGGGACACACTCTCCAGTTCCTCCATGCCTAGCTACCCCTTATCATCCTTCTGGGCCAGCACAGACACTGCCTCCTCAGGAGGCCTCTCTTGATTACCATCTATTGGAGCCTTAACCTCAGTCATTACTGGTTTCCCCTAGGGCAGATTTCACTATATGTGGCTTAGTTTGTTTTCTTTATTAGAGTGCAAGTTCCATATGACCCAACCTCCCCCAACTCAGTTTTATAATCCAGAACCTAAACATGGTCCAGGCCTCAAGCCTCTCTGCAACTACATGCAAACAGCCATCAGATTTTTTCCTTTGGCATATGCCAGTGGTTTGATGCTGGGTACAAGACAGCTGTCCTGAGAAGAGGGGGCTTCCCAGCATGCAGTGGAGACTCACAGAGGACCTCACCCCTAAGCAGGGTGTGGCTATAATAAAAGTACTAGGTCCTGGTATTCATTCTAGCTTAGCTGGAGTAGTGAGGATCACACTTTCTCCCACCTAACAGTGGGGGACTATATGTATCCCTGAAGGTGATAGGTTGCACATAGAATGGATAACAGTGTTCAGTGGGTCACACCCAACAGCAATGGAGGCACAAGGGACCATGTGTCAGTGTTGTATGGAGACAGCAGCCAGGCCTACAAATCTGCCTACACATCAAGCCAAGGACAAGGATGCTGGACAGAGGTCTTTCCCACAATGTTTTGGACAGACCTGTGAGTGGTAGGATGCAGTAGTGATCCAGGTACAATGCCACAGGTCTTTCTAGCTGGGAACTGACTGGTTTAGGTTCCATTCACCCAGATGGCTCCATCCTCCAGCCAATCCCATTTCTCTGTTTCACTTGCTCCCCCTCCAATACATTCCTTCTCAGGCTTCATCTTTCTTAGTCTGCAAACTAAGCTAGTCCAAGCGTCTTCTTTGGTAGCAAAAGCTCACTACAACCCACTGTCCCAAGGCCTCTGGAGGCAGGTCTCTCTTCGGCCGCTACCAGCTCCAGTGTCCCTGTGTGTCACTTCATGCTTCTGGTTTTCACTGGCTGGGCTTGTTCCTTGCTGCAGCCAGTTCAGAGCCCCTCATTTCCATACTTTTACAGTTTGACATGCTGCTTTTCAAACCCCACTCTGAGGGCCTATTCTTCTCTTGGCAAAGCCCTTTCATTACATCGCTTGGACCTGGTCTACCCTCAGCCCTCCCCACGGGTCCCTCTCTCCTTCCTTGAGCACTACTAGCCTTGTCCTTGGGCCTAGTCTGCCATTCATCAGTCCACCTCTCAGAATGCATGGCTCTGCTCTCATTTCTAGAGCTGTAGGCACCATCCTTCAGCTGAGCTATCCACCATGCTCTCCTTCAGTACTTGACTCTCTTCTCCCATGGTCCCTGTCTCTGTCTCTGCCTTCCTGGACACCACTACCTCGCCACACTCTACCTCTTG